CAGCTGCTGTGTTCGATTGGCTGAGCGTGAACAACTGCTGCTACGATCTACTGCGTCAGGACACGGACTATCACTGCAGCAGGTGCCACTGACAATCGCTGGTGTTCCTGCTAACCGCTGCTAGATGCTGCTGCTGTGGATTGAGCACGAGCTATTGCTATCGCTTTGCCAGGCACAGACTATGCTGCAGGTCGCGCCCAGGCTGTGGCTGCGATAGGCTGTTGCCCCAGACGGCACACAGACTGATTGCTGTGGGCTGTGCGCAGCTGTTGAGTGTTACAGGCTGTTCCAAACTGACTGCAGGTTGTTTTCGGGTTGTTGTTCCTCTGATATGCGGTCCGGGGCGGCAAAGATTGAGTCTACTACAGACTGGTGTACTGATCTGAGTACACAAGCTTGGGGAGGTGGTCAGGCTGGACGAACAGGGAGTTAGTGTTGCGAGTTAGGAGACCGTCAGGAGGGTTGAGTTCAGCAATCGAGTTCAGCGGTTGATTCCGGTTTGGTCAAGCTGTCAGTTGGCCGCCATTGCGGGGCCCTCAGGAGTATCAAGACTACAAGGCCCTCTCCCACGAGTCTGAGAGCACCATTCTTGGATCTGAGAGTCTCACGCTTTTCTCTATCTGCCCTTCTAAAGTCTAAGTCTACTCTATTGGCTACGAGAGGAAGGTGGCAGGCGGGATTGCAACCCGTAGGTCCGCGCCAAGGCCTCTGTGGGAGGTTCGCCCCACCGATTGCGGGAGCTCTGCCGGAACCTAGGCGAGGTTCTGGAGGCAGGGAACCATCAGGTATATACCTTTTCATCTGTACAACCTACGACCACCTATGTTTTGTTTATCCCCCTGCAGTATGACTGTTGTATGCATGAGGTTGTCCCTATGGTTTTGCTTTCTCTTCAGGACCCAATCAGACTAAATGGAAAGAATGTCTGAGAGTGAAGCTTAAGTTTCATCTTTGTTTTGACTGAACGCAGACTAAGGATGAACTGGGGGAAGGTGGAAGGAAGGCAGTTTGCATGTGTTTGGAAGGGTCAACCAAGGACCAGGCATCGTTTCTACTGTGAATGGCCTGGTTGCTATGTTTATTTAGTTGCATTCTGGAGGACCAGGCATTGTTTCTACTGTGAATGGCCTGTTTACTCTAGTTAACTCTAAGGGTTTGCCTGATTGAAAGGGGTTTAAATTCTTGTTTATTCTGAGGGAGGATTTTTGGTCTAAGGCTAAGCATTGTTTCCATGGTGAATGGTTTACATAAATTAAACTGAGTATGAAGGAAAGTACTTTATGTATATTTGCGTGTGAACTGGCAGCTGGGCATTGTTTCTACTGTGAATGGTCCAGCGTTAAGCCATATCATTAAGAAGAGAAAAGAGAAAATACAAAGTATAAATGGAAATAGTCTGGGCAAGCTGAACATTGTTTCTACTGTGAATGGTTCAGTGCCCTGCCCATATTTGCCTTTTCCTTTGAAAACAAAGTCAGAGAAATATTAAACTTCAGATATTAAACAGGGCGACTAGGCATTGTTTCCATGGCGAATGGCCTAGTCATCTGCCCAAAAGAAGAGAGAAGTAGTTGTGCAACCTGTTCGTGTATATCATAAAGGCAAGCTGGGCATTGTTTCCATGGCGAATGGTCCAGCTCCATGTCTTATGTAAGATGGGTATAAAGATTGAAGGACTTGAAGATTCATAAATTATCTATATGGAACGAACTTGGGATGGTGAGAGTACTTACATTCGTGGTTTGGTTTGAATGTGACTGAGTGGGATGACTAGTTTGTTTGGGTTTCAGTATTATAGCTAGTTGCTTTAGTTGCTCGCCACGTGCTAGAGCCATAGGAGTTAGCGTCAATTCCTGCATTTTCTGTAATAACTTTTTTTCTACTTAGGTCAATTCTTGCATTTTCTGAGATCTTTTCTTATATTTGGCTTTGTATAAATCTTGGCAAGCTACTTTCTCTACGGGAAGCGCTGCCGAAATTTCTACAAATCCAAGAAGTTAGTTGAATTTTGACTTGTCAAAAATTCAGTTTTGTTTTTTCTCTTATCTGACTTAGTTAAAATCTGGAAAGTCTCATTTTCTAAAGGGAGTGCTGCCCAAATTTTTGCTAAATCAGGGAGTTAGACAAAATTGAACTTTCGAAAGTCAAAATTACTTTCAAATTGTGGACTTAGCCTTGTACAAATTTTGGAATAACACTTTTCTAGAGGGAGTGCTGCCGAAATTTCTACAAAATTAAGGAGTTAGTTAAATTTTGTCTAAAGTTGAGCTCGAGCCGTCTTTCGAGTTCATATCTGACCTAGTATAAATCTGGGAAGTCTCCCTTTCTAAAGGGAGTGCTGCCCAAATTTTTACTAATTCAGGGAGTTAGACAAAATTTGACTTTCCAGAGTTAAAAATTATTTCTGTTTTCATATTCGGGCTGGTATAAATTCTGAAAAGACAGTTTTCCTACGGGAAGCGCTGCCGAAATTTTCTTGGTTTAAAAGAGTTAGATTATATTTCGACAGGTGGCGATTTTGGTAATCAGATTATATTTCGACAGGTGGCGATTTTGGTAATCCACCCTAGATAGGGGAGATTATGCCATGAGTCTACCTTTCTTTGGGCGCTGCCTTAGAGGTAGACTTAGGTTTAGCTATTAGGGGAGACTCTGAGAGAGATTGTGGTATGGGGATTATTCTCCAGGGGCTTATGTTTTTAGCCTGGGGCGTTGACCTGTCTTGTGCTACAGGTCCTTTTGGTCGTTTGACTCAGGATTTGGACTAGTTTCAGCTGGATCCTACGAGGATTATTTTCTGTTATCACTGATAACAGGTCGGTTGGTTGATCGCCGATTTGTCGGCTCACGACACAACTTTGCTTACACCTGTACCCCAACTTGATTGCCTTAGCCCTGAGATTTGATATGTTTCTTTGAGGGTTTTAACCGAACTTCTTTTAAATGGTCATTATAAAGAAGTTGTGGGACTTATGAAAATTTTGACTATGACTGGGGCTTGAGTGTGTGAGGCGTGGTGCGAGTTACAGGGAACAGTAAAGTTGACCACATTGGTGTATGACAATGTGGCTATTGTGTGTGCTTGTGTTTTATGCAGGTTAGTATTTTGAAGCTTGATATATAAGCCATACTTTGGAGGCAGGGAGAATGACTACCATGTGTCGCACGATCTGCATACCTGATGGGTTTATGTTTCCCCCTTCTTTCATTGTTACCTCGAGTCCTGATTTGATATACGAGTGTTGAGATGCTTATTTATTTATTGATTTTGCTTGTTAATTTTTATAGTTGGACGTGGTAGTCCGTGGCAGCCGTCAAAGTCAAACCCCTTGACTTCCGCCCAGGCCTGGGGTAGGACTCGTCCCCAGGGCCGCAAGAGGCGACTACCACCACAGGTATGGACCTGTGTACCACCCACTCTGCACAGAGTGCAGAAGAGGGTGTGTGATCCTCAACCGCGCATGGCGGTTGTCTAGCGTCGAGAGATTAACCCTCAAGGCGCGTGTCAGCCGACACTCGAGTGTCGAACGCGACCCCTGATATTAACAAGGACCGCGTGAGTATGGGTACTACATAGTACGCCATCATTGCGACTGTTTGCGCACGTGTGCATTGCGAGTCGATATGAGTTAGCCCTGCGTCCGCGCGGTTTTATACTAAATCTCGCGCGCGACGTCTATCCGATTTCCGCATCGGAGAGTTATGGGATGGCTACCGAGGGGCTAGGAGTGTTGTCGCGTTGTTTGGGTTGTGTCGTTTCGTAGGCGTATATGTGTTGTTTTGTGTGTATGTGTGTTTGTAAAGTGGAGTGCGCGTGGTGTGTGGGATGCGTCCTAGTCGACCGACGGCGGGTCGCGTTTTGGGACTTCAGCCCCCCAAGATGCCGATTCGTGTGCGGGTCCGATAGAGGCGTATTACCGCGCGTACCCCCTATGCTACAGCGAACGAGAAACGCCCTCGGCTGGTCCACCTCTGCGATTGCAACTGATTAACTTTCGTACTGTGGACTGGTAGCTCGGCGGGGATACGCCCACCGAAGGGAGGTGACAACTCTCGTAAGGTGTAGGTAAGTCGTGCCTCGCGTAGGCCCTATCCTGTCGTAGGGGCTCGCGAGAGNGGATACGCCCACCGAAGGGAGGTGACAACTCTCGTAAGGTGTAGGTAAGTCGTGCCTCGCGTAGGCCCTATCCTGTCGTAGGGGCTCGCGAGAGGTATGGCTGGCGCACTCGGCCGGAGCGGCTTGCGGAAGCTCCACATGTATAATTCGCGACGAAGGATTTAGACCAACTCCTGCGTGACGCGGTCGGGAGGGTCCCGCGCTGCCCTGGTGCGGTGCAGGACCGATGCGCTTGACAACGTGGAGCATCTGGAAGGAGAGGGCGTAACTATCTGAAGGGACCTGGACGAAGCACTGGGTCATGGTCACCATGCCAACCCACCGGGAGTAGAGCACGCATAATTTGCTGCTTTGTCCTTTGTCTGCTTGCTGCGCTGTAGAGGGGTTCTGAAGGGCAGGCCAACCCTATGGGACAAACGAGACCGGGTGTCTATAAATAAGCACCGGCGGGATACCTTCCATTGACTGTGATCATCGTCCTGTTTGCGACGTTAAAGAATTCCTGAGGACTTCGTAGGCCGTCCATAAAAACGCCTCCTGATCAACCAATCGATTGGTGTAAGGCTCGCTGCACGCGAGGATAAATAATGTGCGGGGCTGGCCAGCTCAGCAGGACTCGGGGCACAGGGTTGGGTCATGTGCACACCTTTAGACACGCACGCTATCTGGATCGCTTAGGGACGTTGACGACAAGAGACATTCAAGAAGAATTGAGGGAGGGGTAGATTCTAGGTGATAAGTTCGGGCAAGATCCCATTCTGCAAACAGACCCAACAAACGATTCTATTTTTATTTTGATTAGTTAGATGTACAACCATTAACATCTGATAGACAACATTAGTTAGAACTGTTTTCTGTTTCTTGTGCTTCTGTTTGCGAACTAGTCGAAGTAAAATAGTTTTCGTTTGTAGGAATTTGAACTTACCTGTTGGACCCAAATGTACATTCTCTGAAACAACCACCGATTATTACTTCACTTTTATTTTATTATAAATCGGTCTGTACATGTTGTTGTGGTAGGCATCGATTGAGTGTCCTCGTGCAGACGGTGTGCAGTTCTGTAGCTTATGAGCGATAGGGATATCACTAGTGAGGACGACCGGATCTTGCGATCGGCTAGACGCCCGATAGCCCACTTGGCCTTAGGACCAAAGGGTGACAAATTTATGTTCCGCCAGCTTAGGGAGAGGCAGCAGCAGCAGAGGAGAGTTAGGGCAGTAGAGGCCAATAGGGCGTTCGTAAGCAAAGCCGCAGCTTCAGCAGCCATGGCCACGTCTGCGCAACAGAGTTCCCGGGCTAGCAGTTCAGGATCTGTAGGGTCAACGGTCGCGCAGACCCAGAGTCAGTCAAGTGGCTTAATGGCAAGCCATCCGTTAGTGATGACTCCCGAGGAGGTCGCCATACAGCGAGCTGGTCATCGCGAGGCACAACTACAACAGGCTTTAGGAGAGATTAAGGCTGAAAAAGAAAGAATGATTAGAAGAAGAGCCAGGTTGCAGCGACGACAAGCGGACATTAGCAAGTTAGAGGAGATGGACCCAGCGGAGTTGGATGATGAAGTGAGGACCCTGAGGTCAGTCTTGCTAGGAGTAGTAGAGATGCAAGATCAACAGACGACGATCTTACAAGACATCCAACAGAGTCTGGCCGTGTTGGTCGGGCGAGCGCAGGCGGCACCATCACTGTTCGGGCCTGGTGTCTGGCCCGTTGTACATCCTCCTCCTTTTGTCCGACCGGTGACTGGGGTATCCCATATACCGCTCCAGCATCGGTTCAACCCGTCTCCCTAGGTATGCCTTTAACAGGCAGGTTCTTAGCAGGTCCTAATTCCTGTACAGACAATGTTCTCCCAACCACCGCCACAGGTTGCCGTAAGCGGGCAGCCTGCTGTCTCGCAGCCTGCACAGTCGCAAGGTTCACAACCCCAGCAAATAGTGCAGCAGCCTGCACCACAGGATCCATAGTCCGGAATGGTACAGGTACCGGGACAAAGTCAGTGGGTTCCAAAGACGGCCATCGCCGCTCATAAGCCCTTTACAGGGGATAAGAGGGGCGAAGACCTTGACACATGGTTGACGGCAGTGCCAGTCTATGTTAAGTGCAAACTTACCTTGCCGCATGAGGAAGTGCTTGTGGCTGCCTCCTATTTAGAGGGGAGTGCAGCACGATGGTTGAGTGGTTTAGTGCAGCTCCAGGGGTACGGTCATGAATTTCGCGCTTGGGCAGTCACCCATAAACTGGATGACTTCCTCAAGTTGGTGGAAGACAGGTGGGATGATCCGCAGGAGGCCCAAAAGGCTACTAACGCGATCCTAACACTGCACAAAAGGCAGTTTAAGTCAGTGAGAGAGGCCACTGACGCTGTAGAGCGTCTGATCTGTGTCCCTGGGGTTCGCTATGACCCCCAGGTTTTACTCACCTCCTACCTGAGATGCTTCCCTATGCCTCTCAGGAACCAGTTGGCAGGTGAGGCCAACATCAACATGCACAACTTCCCGTCGTTTAGCAACAAGGCCCTAGACCTGGAAGCAAAGATAGGGCATGGTTAGACACCCACGACGGACGGTAGGAAAAAGACACTGCCTCCCAACTGGAAAGCGAAGGGACACATTATGTTCGTCGGCAACGATGGTTCTACCATCGAGTTGGACGACGAATTCCAGGTGGGAGCAGGTTCAGAGGCAGGCAACGTAGAAGCTTCAAGGGGTGGAGTAGCCGCTGTCGTAGCCCAGAAAGGTAAGGCGACCGGTAGACGCCGTGGAGGTTCCTGGTCTAGGAGTCAAGTTGACCCTAATGCTCCTCCATGGGAGAAAGCGGGTCTTAGTGAGGACGTGTGGAGAGACCGGTACACCCAACAAGCTTGCATTCGTTGTGGCCAATATGGCCATAACCAATTCAAGTGTCGTAACAAAAAGGTGATCGAGAAGATCCCGCCTACGATGGGGCAGACGTTGGGATCCTCCGCTCATGTTGGTAGCAATGTGGTCAGCAGTTCTGACGCTGCTCCGGGAGACGTGTCGGGCCAGTAGGAATGGTAGCTGTTCCTGGTAGGGTCGAGGTGGTGGACACACCCTCACCATCTCGAGAGATGGCCCAAGCTACTGACTCCATCGTTGTCCCGCAAACACATTCTGACCCATCGAGCCTCTGTTCGATGAATGTGTTTGAATCCTTAGAGGAGCTAGAGGAGGAGTGGTCTAGATCAGACCCACTAGCTTCTTGGACGACATTGACCAAAGCCCCTAAGAGAGAGATGTTCGTCAGCGAGGTAGTCATCGGCGGCCGCAAGGACGGGGCCTATTATGACACTTGCTCGACTAGGAGCTTCATTAGTCGCGCGTGCGTTGAGAGGTTGCACTTACAGGGGCGAGTGCAGCACCTGAGTCGACCTGTGGAGTCGACCTGTGCCAACAAACAATGCATGGTAGTCAACGACTACCTCCAGGATGTTGAGTGTTGTTTCCCATACACGGGAGGGGAATTGAGACATCGTTTCTCATTCCTAGTGAGTGACGATCTCCCTATGGATATCTTGTTAGGGTACTACCTCTCCGTGGCGCAGCCCCAGTTTGACTGAGACTGAAAAGTGGTCAAACACACTTTGCCAGGTTGGGGGACTGCGAGATTACGTAAGTTCAAAGCTAGTAGTCCGATCGAGTCCCACAGATGCATGTGTGTGGCCGCGTTCTATAATTATTATAAGCAAAATCTGGAGGAGGATATGTATCTAGTCTATGTCTCTGCAGCAGGCGAGCCGGTGAAAATGCCGCCGGAGATAGAGGGACTAGTTGCCAAGTACCCTGATCTATTTTTGTTGAGAGTGAGGTCATCCACACAATAGAGATTATCCCAGGGTCTAGTATCCCAAAGGGTAGGATCTATCGGATGTCACCAGGTGAGCTTGATGAGCTTCGCCGACAAATTAAGAAACTCATAGAGAAGGGTTCGATCCGGCCGAGTGTTTCTCCTTATGGATCTCCAGTCCTATTCGTACCGAAGAAGGGGGGAACACTGAGGATGTGCATTGACTATAGGGGCCTCAATGCCATCATTGTCAAGAACAACGAGCCCCTACCGCGCATCGACGACTTGCTAGATAGAGTGCAAGGGTGCCGGTACTTCAGTAAGGTAGATCTGAAGTTCGGGTACCATCAAATTGCAATCCGTCCCTAGGATCAACACAAAACTGCATTTCAGACCAGGTACGTCTGTACGGGTTTGTGATGATGCCTTTCGGCCTATGCAATGCTCCTGGCACCTTTCAACACGCTATGAGTCGGATATTTCATGACTACTTGGATAATTTCGTCATCGTGTACCTTGATGACATACTTATTTTTAGTAGAACTGTCGAGGAGCATGTAGCGCACTTAGACAAAGTCCTCAGTCTCCTTCGGCAACACAAGTTTAAGATAAACGAGGAGAAGTGTGAGTGTGGCCGCACCCGTATCTTGTACTTGGGTCATGAGATTTCCGCGGAGGGTTTGAAGCCCGATGACGCGAAGGTGGTCAACATTCGTGACTGGCCGCGTCCTCAGTCTGTGACTGAGATGAGGTCCTTCTTAGGGATGACAGGCTACTATCGCAATTTTGTTCAGAATTATAGCATAGTGGCCGCCCTCTTGACGAACCTGACTTGCCTTGACATCCCATGGGAGTGGACAGACAGGTGTGAGGTTGCTTTCAGACAGCTGAAGCATGCGTTGACACACCATGAGGTCTTGAAACTTCCCGATCCTGACAAACCTTTCGTAGTAACTACGAATGCTAGCCAATATGGCATAGGCGCCGTACTTGCGCAGCAGGAGGGGAAGAAGTTGAGGCCAGTAGAGTACATGTCCAAAAAGATGCCCTCTCAAAAGTTGGCTAAGTCCACCTATGAGAAGGAGCTCTGTGCGATCTACATGGCGCTCACCCATTGGAGGCATTATCTCCTTGGGAGGTTCTTCTACGTCAGGACTGATCACCAGACCCTGAAGTGGATGAGAACCCAGCCTGTGCTCTCCGACGCTTTGAAGCGTTGGATTGAAGTCATAGAGCAGTATGACTTCGAGCCCCAGTACATCAAGGGCGAGTACAACAAGGTTGCTGACGCGTTGTCGTGTAGACCAGATTTCTCCGGTGCGCTGATCACTAAGTTTGGGTTTGCGGACGATGTTACTCACTCTATGGTGGAAGCCAACCGCGAGGATCAGTTCATGCCCGAGATCATTCGCAGACTCGAGGCGAAGGACAAAATAACTTCTGCCGAGTTTGAGTTGGTCAACGGTCTGCTGTTCCTTGAGAAGGCCGGGAATAAACATTTGTGTGTTCCCAATAGGGAGTCTTTGCGTAGTTTATTTTTAGGTGAGTGTCATGATGCCACCAGACATTTTGGCTTCAAGAAGACTGCAGCCAATCTGCTGCAGCGGTTCTGGTGGCCCACGATGATGAGAGATGCCAAGCTGTGCGTGGAGACTTGTCAGGTCTGTCAAAGAGACAAGCCCCGCGCACAGGCCCCTCTTGGGCTCCTTAAGCCCCTTCCGATACCGGAAAGGCCCGGTGAGAGCCTGTCCATGGACTTCATGGACACACTGGTCACCAGCAAGAGTGGAATGAGACACATCTTTGTCATTATGGATAGGTTTAGTAAGTATGCTAGGTTAGTTGCAATGCCAAAAACAGCAAGGACTGAGTACGTCATTAGACTATTCAAGGAAAACTGAGTCAGAGAATTTGGATTACCAAAGTCTATCATGAGTGACTGGGATGTCAGATTCACTAGCGAGTTGTGGAAGGCTGCAGCTGCAGAACAGGGGACATAGCTGCAGATGACCTCTGGGAACCACCCAGAGGCCAACGGCCAAGCAGAGCAGCTGAATCGCGCTGTACAACACCTGCTGCGGCATTACATCAAGCCCAACCAGGTGGACTGGGATGAGAAGCTTGCTCTCATCGCCAACTTGTACAACAACGCTGTGCACATCGCCACAGGGGTGAGCCCTAACAGTCTGCTACTAACTTTCAAGCCTAGACTGCCCCTAGACTTTCTATTACCTGAGAACCAGCAAACTGCTGCACCGGGTACACTAGAATTTGCTTATCGATATGAACAAATGATGCAGCAGGCAGTGGAACAAATGCAGAAAGCACAGGCGGCAATGATAGAGTCAGAGAACAAACACCGCCGCCCGTCCACATTTCAGGTAGGGGACTGAGTCTGGGTCAAGTCCTCAGAACTGGGACAGGAGCACGGGATATCCCGTAAGCTCATGCCACAGTACTTTGGACCTGGGAGGTTCTAGATGTCGTTGGGGATGAACCGGATGGTCCTTCTTATGTTGTTCGCATCGCTGGTCACCTACACACATATCCGGTATTTCACGCCTCAAAGCTTGCACAGTTCAAAGAAACTGATCAGTTCCCTCTCGTCGGTCTATGCTGCCCCCAACCGTGGATGGAGAGGTCGACATCGACGACATTGTTGATCACAGGGAGATGCCAGTTCCTAAACCAACAAGCAGAGGACATCCTCCAAAACCGAAGTTACAGTATAGAGTTCGGTTCAGACATCACACTGATCCAAAGGAGGACCGATGGTTTACCAGGAAGGAACTGATGCAGACCGCTCCTCAGGTTGTGAGCCATTATGAAAAGTCTCTGCAGAAGGGAAAGCGCCAGATTATCTAAGATTGAACTTCTCAGAGGACTAGCGAAGTATGGAGGAGGGAATGCGAGGCACAACACCTCAATACGCCCCTACAGGGCCCCATTTCCAGTACAGTCGGCCACCCTAAGTGAAGGCAGGCCCGACCGAAGCCTACAGGCCTATTTTTGGGGTCAACCCGCAACTGGGGAATTTCAGACAGTTGCACAGCGCCAGTTGGTTGAAGGCGCCCAGGCCCTGGCTTCCTTTTGTCAAATGTATCCAAGCCAGGCCCTGGGCGAGATACGCAGGATGGACCCAGCACAGGCTGTGAGCAGTTGGGCACGGGTAACTGTCGGAGGCCCCGGGCCTGTTTTGTTTGGACAGAGGCTCAGCCTCCCTGGGGCCTACCGGAAGCTTCTGTGCCGAGGCCCAGTACCGCAATACAGCACGCAGCAGCAGGCCACTTCGATATAGGGAAGGGCCTGTTCACACATTGGACATTCGGGCACTGGCTGCTTTGTGCGCAAGCGCTGCTGCGCTATCGCCTGCCAGGCTCACGCGCTCACGGGCGACCTGGAAGGAGCAGGCAGCCATAGCCGAGCTGCCCTGCTGTATGCTGGATGGGGCGCATGGTGGTCCTTGGGTGCAAGTGGCATCTGTGTGTTGGGGAACGAGGTTGTGAGTGATACGAGAGACATAACTGGTGCTTGACGCGTGCGGCATTGGCTGAGGTCTGCTCGTACTTGGGAAGCTGTTGACGTCATCAGCGGCATTGTAGTCTAGGCTAGATAGGATCTGCCATTCTTAAGATAGGATATCAACATTGGTTCCTCGATTGATGATGATGAGACTATTTCAGCATTGTCAATTATGAGCTTTTGGTGTGCTCTTATTTGGTGAAACTCGTGATGCAATTCTGCTTTTGGTTCGAGGTCACGACTATCTGGTCTCATGTGTATGATGCTGTTTGATTGCTGAAGTTCGCTATTGCTCATCTTCCTTGCATTCACGAAAAAATCTGAAAAAAAGAAGGAAATAGGGTAGGTGCCACGTGGCATTGAGTCAAGGAAAAATAATAGAGACCATATAAAATATTACTTTTACGTACAGAATCGCTTTATACATGCCTTGATTTTCGCTGTGGGACAGCTGCCTAAACCCAACTGGGGTTCAGCCTCCTGACGAGTTGGTGAAACTCTGACAAAACAGTCTGCCACATTATAATGGATGTAGGGGAGAGACATAACCAACCACTGCTTCACTTGTCTTTATGCGTGGTTTTTTTTTTTTTTTTTTTTTTCTTTCTCCGTATGCGTACTACCACACCGGGAGAGAGGTGAGAACAGGGAATGGGGGTGGGATCTCTCTCTCTCTCTCTCTCTCTCTCTCTCTCTCTCTCTCTCTCTCTCTCTCTCTCTCTCTCTCTCTCTCTCTCTCTCTCTCTCTCTCCCCTTTATTAGGCGCTCTTTTTTTTCTCTTTTTTTAAGTTTTTGTTTGTTTAATCACACACCGGGGTCATTACCGGGCTTCGGCTAAGAAGAGAAGTAAAGAAGAGAAGTAAAGAATACCAGAATGCTGGGAAGATGGCCAGTCTCTTCAGCCCCTCGGACCCGCTTGGCTTTCTGAAAATGTTATGCGTTCAAACTTCAAAGTGGTTGAGGATGACAGTTGGAAACGTCCTCACTTACTGGGTCAGTATCTGTTTCCGTCGTCTCCCCATCAGCATAGTAAGCCGCTAAGATGTCAGCAGTTGGTACATCCTGTGCACACACATCCAAAAGCGGCAAATGAAAAAAAAAAAGAGGTGAGAGAAAAATCGATGTCTTTTATTTGAAAAAAAAAGCTTCAAAGTTGTTGACGAAAAAAAAGAAAGAAAGCAAAAAAACGAGAATCAAAATAGTAAAATACAAAAAATATGAAATCGGTTGAGTCAACATAACTTGCGATGCTTCAGCATAATGAACAAATAATTCTGAGGGAAAAAAAAAAAGGAATGACACATTTATGACAGGGAGTTAAACCATGGTTTGCCAGGGGGTAAAATAAATAAATAAATAAATAAATAAATAAATAAATAAAATCCCGACCCTGCCTATCAGACCGCGTGAGACCTGCTAATGTCGACCTCCAACTAGAATGTACGGTCAGTCTTTTTTTTCCCTTTTTTTGTTTTTTTTTTGGCAAGAATCATGCTCAAATTGTGGGGAGCAGCACGTGCTGGGAACCGGGCCCAGCGTCCCATGTGAAAACACGTATAAAAGTTTGAAATACTGGGGCCATTACCCGGCTTCGGCTAAGAATCATGAACACCTACCGAGTTTCAAAACGACTTTAAAACGAAAAGCTTCCATCAGCAAACTACAAACAGGTGAAGAGAACCGAAGCCAAGCTACTCTGGTGCCATTGACTCGACCATCCGAAACCGACCTCAATCTTTGTGTCCTCAGACCAGGACGCTCCGGGCCTCACACCCTTCAAAGCTCAGTTACAGCTCCGGCCCGCACCGTCCTGCTGGTGGCTCATGGATGGCTTCGGGAATCGCCTTCCACCCTCGACAATTCCCCCCCCAAAATCTCTCTACCAGGCTTCGTGCCCGCAGCTAACTCGGGTTAAGGGGCAGTGCAACCACACCCCCCCCAGCGCCTGCCAGTGTCGTTCTGGCACCGGCCCACCGTGAACTAAGAAGACATGATGGCCTCAGCACCGATCAGACAACCCACCAGACACCACCGCGGTCGCGTGGCCATTAGTTCATTTTTGACACACCTGTCCACGCTGGGCCTGGTCCCATCAGATCAACGGAAAATGCCAGAGCCTCCTGATCCATGCTTTCTACCACCAGAAAGAGAGGAGAGGGAGGGAAAACCAACACCTCTCCCTCAGGAGGTCCCAGCGTGAAGCGAAGACTCAACTGCGCTTGAGAGAACCCACAGAAATTCTCCCAGGAACGTACGGTCATTCTAGCTGTATTTCGTGTCACGTTCAGTCTAAGATACAGAGACAATAAAGTACGTTCTTTTTTGAAGTTTTTTCCTCCTTTCAATAGTTTTTATAACGATGAAGTGCGTTCTATTTGTAGAAAGACTACTTTAGTACTTTGTCTTTGGCAAAACAAAAAGAGTCTGCTTTTCTGTTTTGCAACCAACACTTGATATCACAATCACACATCCAGTTAATTATTAAAAATAAAAATAAAACAAATCACACATCCGATGGTTGATGCGGCGAGCAGTCAAAGTCTTCCATTGCAGCTCAAATATACAGGGTCATTTTGCAGTGCAATTGCACTTGATAATAGTTGGGTTGTCTAATTGATGGTCTCTGGAAACCGTTTGCGTGGATGGATGAGCCATGTGTGTGGAATTGTGAATCTCTCTTCCCCCTTTGAATGAATATTAATCAGTAAACTAGCTTCATAGATGTATGCATGGGCTTTTCTTCTCTGTGGATTGATCAAGTAGCATGTTTGGGACACCGTGCATTCGCTCTTATTCTTGAAGATAAGTCCCTCTTTTCTGCGAGTCCCAGTAGTGCAAGACTTAACTAGGAAATGCTTGCCTTCCCTAAACAATTTGTGCAGAGCATGCAGTCCGATCCGTCTCATGTGTTACATACTCTAATGAGTATGGGCAGAACCAAGGATCAACCAATGTAGGATGAGCATATATGCAACGGAAGTCTGATGAACGGACTGACTCACATAGACTGACTCTCATAGACTGACTCACATAGCATCACTCCACACACATACAAKCGTGAGGTGGTGGGGTCTGAGCCATTCATGGAAGATGCTCAGCCCCGTACACACATACACAGATGAATGGGGGAGGAGAGACGAAGAGGTGGGGGGAGGGAGACATCACCGAAAGTCACCTAGATAGAATCTGATAGGTCACCGATATGGTAGTCCAAAATGTCATCCAACAAGATCAAAATGTCGAGGTCCATAGGTCACCAATGTCGGGGATACAGAGTCCAAATGTAACCGGTGTCTGAACTGTGATGTCGCCAAGTATCAACCCCAACGATCTCCAAGTCTCCAATCCGGTAAGTACCACAGTCTCATACCACCGAAGTCCAACWCTGATCTCTGTCCAACTAGTATAGGTCTCCGGTCTGAAGAAGAAGAGGAAGAAGAAGGGGAAGAAGAAGAAGAGAGAGAGAGAGAGGGAGAGAGAGAGAGAGACGAAGGTGAGGAGGAGGGAAAGGGACCGAGGAGGGAGGAAGAGATCCCCGCCTCCTGGTACCTGCAGCTGCTGCTGCTGAGGCGGCGATGGCCGCCGTGCTGCTGCTGCTGTCCTCGCTCGCTGCYGCYGCTGCGCTAGGTCGCTCTGCTGCTGCCTTCGCTCCTGCGCTAGGAGTAGCGCTCAAACGGCGCTCTGGCGCCGACCTTACCACACCGCGTAGAGTACCGGTGGGTCGATCCCTGAAGTGAGGCCGGACCGGTTCTATATACCGGTGGGGCAGAGGCCGGCCTCAATGCTGCGAGGCCTGGCCGTGCCCTGA